TTCCATTAGAGGACAATTTTCTGCATCATATTGAGTGCTGACAATTACCCCTTTCTATAAAAGTTAAGTTTTACTTAAATACCAGATATATTTGTGTTACATTCAGTTTTATCAACATCCCTTTTACTCATGTACACTGGTAGGGTCCACACACTGTGCAAAGCTTTCATTGTTAAATCAGATAGTTGACAGAGATTACATATTATGATTTACAAATAAACCATGATTTACAAATAATGGCTGAATTCATAAATTATATATTGCCAAAACCAAAAGTCACATTATGGCTTAATAGAATGTATGAACCATGTTACACTGCTACACATTCAAGTTTAGGTGTGCTCACATGACCAAAGGCTGGCTAACCATAAATAGCAAACAAGGCAATTACAGATGGATGCCATGCCAGTAGGCACAGCAAAGCATGGTCAGCTGTGATTTACCAGTTGGCATTCTTGATGGCCAGTATGCCAATCACCTTTGGAATGGCTAACCAGTCAACACATGGCTCAGGGTCTGGATATCTTTATGACCACCTTCTACAAGTTGAATCCTGACCAATAAGATCTAGATGAGGTGGGCTTGCTGAGGTTCTCATCACCAAGGGAATGCTATCATCAAGGACCAGACACTTGAGACATTTTAGTGATAAGCTCTCCTCTTTGGAATAACTTACACCTCAAGATCCAGACCATTCCCTGCTAACTACATTTTTGGAAAGCTGTAAAAACAGGCTTTTCAACACCCTCCATTCAAGGGCAGATGTGCTCCTGACAGGGAAGACTGCTAAACCTCTCTTCCAGAACCCCTGATGACAAGGCATTGAGCCTGGTGAAAGTAAAAGCTTTTCCGTGAAGGGAAGAAACAGTATTTATAAATATTTAGGATAGCTAAAGGCCTCCTCCAAAGGCCAATGTTACAATGTGAGAGATTCTGTTCCTGTCCTTCTATAAGTCTAGATCTAGGATACATTGCTTAACCTCCTAAATGGCCCTCTTAGACCCTAGCATTATCAAGTTATTGAGCTGAGTATTTCAGAAGGGTAAGTCCAAGGCTATACTTTTTTCTCCAAGAGGAGTCAAACATGTCTACAAGGATTAGCTGGGATAGATCTCTTCTCCTAAAATTAGTTTTTACCAGCATTTTAATCAGCAGATCATCATGCAAACCTTGACTTACATGCAGCCTACCTACAGCCTCACGCTTGCATGGAAATGCAACAAGGAAGGTGAAGCATTGTTCTTAAGAACCTGGACTGGATTGCCTCCAATTTTTTACATCATCATAGGCACAAATTTGGGCACCATAGAATATTAGGCTTAACACTAGGCTTAACAAAAAAAGTGTAATTGCAACAGGGAAATAATTGTTTCCATAGTGGCTGGCACAAGATGAGATAGCTTTTTCTTGCTCTTTCCAAGTACAATTTCTGGAACACAATTCTTAAGTACCTAAAAATCTTGCTCAAAACTCGCTCAATTTTATTAATTGTTTATTTCTGAAGGATATTAGGGCATAGTTTTGTGAATACAACCACTTTTGTTTTACTATAACTAATTTATAGTTGCTTTTCCTCACAATAATCATCTAAGACTTGCAGACTGCATTGAGGGCCAACTTGTATGTTTGATTTCAATTCCCTTGATCGAAGGTGATTTTTTTCCTTAATTTTTCAGATGTTAGATTCTTGTCTATAGCCAGGATTCAATACCACTTTTGAAATATAGCATCCTGTGCAATGTTTATGATTTATATGTTAGCAAAATGCACAGAAGAGTCTAAAATGAAATTTGCAACACAGGTTGATCAAGTACAAAAAGAGAAAGGATGTATAAAGGACCCACTAAAATACCACACTCCCCATGATTTGGAAAAAGTGGAGAGAAGAATTAATAAGCATCTTGCCAAGTATCTTCTCTTGGCAAGAATAGTTGTTCCTTTAAATGACAAAACAAAGAAATAAATAGATCAAAAAGTATAACCCTGGGGGTAGAAATAAATGGGTAATTATTACTTCTCATCCACTCTAGATTAGGTTCATATATCACATTAAGCTATAATGTAGTCTCATTAGCAGGAAGAAGGAACAGGCTACAGTATCTAAGCCACCAAATCCAGCCTCCCTCCTATTTCAAGAACTCAAACAAAAGCATCCCCCACAAATGGTTGCCCAGACTCCACCCAAATAAATCCAATTAAGGGGAACTTGTCTCCTGTTGCCAATTCCACCAAAGAACTAATTCTACCAGCAGAAATTTTGCAACATTCAACTGGAATGTATCCCTCTGCAACTCAACCATCATGCTAGGATCACAATAGAGAACAACTCCAAACCTCTCCTATGTGACACTCCTGCAGACAACCCCAAGGTGCCAACACATCCAGTTCAGTTGTTCATCTAAGCTGAATAAAACCAGCTCCCCAGTTTCAGTAACTTAGTATAGTTTAGCTAAAATGTTTTCAAGTAGTGCTAGTTTCACCTCCCAGATCAACACCTGCATTTTCATATTACCAAAATATTAAACTGAGCAGATGCTTGTCATTAGCTGTAGCCCACAATATTCCAGCAATCTATCAGGATTCTGGCCAGGCTGACCAAGAACAGACATTTGAAGCACCTGAGTGCTTCTGCGTATGTCAAAAAACATAGGACAAACTTGTGACATTTTGCTGGAGTGATTAACTTATCACCGACCAAATATTTCTCAAAGACAACTCCCAGCATTTCTCAACATCAACAATGCTGTCCAGAGCTCCTGAGAGTTTTAATTCAGAAATATCTGGACCACAGCTTTCTTATCCCTCCTTGTCAACATTAATTTATACTGGCATAAGACTTGGTGGACTACAGCTGCAATAAGTTTATGTCACAATAAAAGTATTAAAGTATCAGAAGCCTGCTATTGCTTTCAACATGCAGTGTTAAGTGTAATTAAACCCAATATCATAAATCCATACTTAACTGTGGGTGAGATCAAGTTAATCATTTTTGGCAACTCCTTGGTAATTATACATTCAGAATATTTCACTAACAGTTTATCACACCTGCACCTGTTTTCTACTTACTACAAATAACAAAAATTTAACCTTCAGATTTTTGGTGCACGACAAAATGAAATTTCTGTAATCCAGTGTAATATATATTTGTAATTCACCAAATTCAACAGAGCTTTACATGTATTAGAATATTGTGTAGTTTTATATCTTCAATCTCAGGCCATACACTTGTTTGATACCATTTCTATTTTCCCTCATCTTCACTCTACTAAGAACAAATAATCTTCCTAATTTTCAGTTCTTTTATTACTCTTAACCAATGTGCAGACACTGTTGTACTCAAATAAGAATTCAAATAGGCCAAATACTAGTGTTTAAACATACAGTAATTCAAATTGTCACCACTATTTATTGGATTTGGAGGCCACTCAATTCCAGAATGATTCTGTATGGCTTATAGTTTAAAACAGAAAAATAATAAAAAGAAACTAGAGCATTTGGACAATATTCCATATAACAAGCCACTCACTGATAGGACTCCACAACCACCCTATTTATTCAAAGGATGCTCAAAGTGGACACCAGTGTAACTTTATGATCGCAAGCCCAGTGAATTTAACAAGACTTACTTAAAATTTGTTTCAAAGCAGTACTGACATATTTTATTTATATTTTTCATCTGTCCAGTCACTGGAGTTTTCTGAACAGATTACAGAACTGAGCACAGCTATAAACAAAGGAACAACATTCTTCAAAATGAAGGACAACTGAAGGGTTAATGTAAGTAATTAAATTAAAATGTCCTGTATATTCCTAACATATGTAAGGGTAAATTAATAGTTTTTAACTGTTTTATTTCTTTTTAATGAAGTTGTCCAAACTATGCATTTAACCTTATGTGACAGACATACAAGTATTAGAGCTCACTCTTTAATAAAGTGAGCCAATATTAGATTACTACAGCGTGAAGAAATATTTTTTATCAATTTTGCAGGTAAATAATTAACATTACCAATTCATACAAAACTACTGCACCTACTCTAAGGGGAAGTAGAACAAAGTAGAAAAAGAGAATAGCAAAACTCTTCTCTGGAAAACCAGGTTCACTTCCACACTATGTTTCTACTGTAGGTGCTGGTATCAAAAACAGAAAATAAAAGCACAACAGAAAAGCAGAGACTTTCAGGCCTTCTCTCTCAACTTTTAACCGTGATTCTGAGGTAAAAGAAATCTAAGTATCTACACCTTCCTACAAAACTAAAAGGAAGGAAAGAAAACACTAAAACAAACAACGAAATCTGAAAATCTAATGCTTCCTGGCAAAGTTCTCCTCAGTAAACCTGTTTAGACTGAGCATGACGTTAGCTTCCTCCCACAAAATGTGACTCCGGGCAAGACACGCACCAGAAGCAGAGAATCGACACATTTGAGGACAGGCGTTCGGTTTTTCACTTGTAACGTCCCTACAACTTCTTCCGCCGCGGTGTAAATACATGGCGCGGTTCGCATCCGCCCACCGACCTTGCCTACATGGCATCCCACCCATTTTGTCCGCAGAGAATCCCTTCTCGGGGGCCGCGACGGGGCGAGGGCCGACGGCCACCCCCAACTCCCTTTTAAGCATTTCACTCGCCAGGAGGGTCTCTTCCCGTCTCCCTCGTAAGAGAATTCGCATTCACGCTGATTCACCCCTTTCCAAGAAGGGCTGGACTATCACAGTCGCACCCGGGGCGTCAGTTACACACCCCGGGGAGCGGAGCCACGAGAGCCCTCGACCCGGCCGCGTTCCCCCCCCCCCCGGCTTACAAAACACCCGCCCCCAGGGGGGAGCGCGCCCCCCCCCCCCCACCCCCCGGCCCCCCGCCCCGCGCTCCCCCCCACGTGCGAGGGCAGGGGGCTG